AAACTCATAGAAACAGTGAATAGTATGGGGGTTGTGAGGGGCTAGAGCAGGGAGAAATGGGAATGTTGGTCAAGGTGTATAAAGTTGCATTTATGTAAAATAAGTTGTAGAGCTAAGGTACAGCAAGGTGACTATAGTTATTACTACAGTTTTGTATATAGTACAGTAGATTTAAGAAGGTAGAGCTTAAGTTTCTCACCATACCAATAAAAATGATTAACTATATAAGGTGATGAGCATGTTAATTATGTTGATTATGGTGATCATTACCCAATGTATACATATATAAATCACCAAGTAGTACACCTTCAATATAAAAATTTTTTGTCAAATATACCTCAATAAAGTAGGAGGAGGGAAAGAAAAAGAGCGTTTGGAATCAAGTCCTTTAAAATGGCTGCCATTAATTTCGTACCCTCAGTGCTCTAGATCTCAAGCAATCAATAACATTTTTCCAAAAAAGGTTTTATATTAGATGAAAAAACAGCAGCTCTTTCTGTAGCATGAGTCAACAGGGGAACTACATGAGGTGCCCACTCTAGAATTATGCCACCTTGCCATTTAGGTGGCATTCAGCTTTCTTAGAAACCTGGGTTCAGATAGGAAAAAGGGACTCTCACAGGCTTAAGTTTTAAATATAGAGAATTCAGTTCCCCATTCAGGATGGGCATTTTTCAAACATGTCTCTCCAGGATATCTGCTTCTAAGACAAAGTCTTTCCATCAAGGGAGATAATTAATTCCTGGGAGAGAAAGCAACAGCTACGACACAAGGTCTCTGATTCTTTCTAGAAACCTCTTTAAATACACATGCAGTGCAAGGTAAAAATGTTTTTTTTGTTTTTGTTTTTGTTGTTGTTCACATCTCCAGAGCAAGATTCATCATGAGCTGAGTGACTCATTTAAATGTATTTCCTCCACACTTTCTTCATCTTGCCCTGAGGGGACCAGAGCCATGTCAAGAAGAGCAGTTTTTTGTGAAAATGTTCAGAGGCTTTAGGCTACAAGAAAATATTTAGACTTACAAACAGACTTTCTTAACAACTGTTGATTTTATGTTGAATCATCTGAATAAGCTCTTTTGAAGTGTGAAATATCTTTCACATTGAAACTTACTTATTCCAGGAAAAGATAATTTCAAATAACATTGTGTCTGAGCACCCCTAAACATCATTAAGATCATCAAGGACTACTAAGGTAAGTTTTTCAGTAGTACTGAAGCTTATCAAAGATTGTTACTTTCTATATATAGTAATCAGTATTTTTCAACACTTTTCAAATAGAGTAATAGAGTCTTGCATTCTCACTCCATTCTTCAAAAAGTAGTTGGTAAATATCATTAACCTAATTTGACAGTTGAAATATTTGAGGCTTACAGAGATTAAGCAATGTATAGAACCCATCTCTCTGATATCAGGTACCATACTTTTGCCATGAGACACCTCCTTAGTGAATGAGACAAGTTATGAGGACTAAAACAAAATTTAAACACACTTCACACACACAAAAGACGCAAATATAAATATTAAACGGCAAATCATCAGCTGATTAGTCCAAGCACCAACATGGAGAAACTTTCCTGGGATCACTTGCTATGAATAATATAAATCCCTGTAGCTTCTTGAAAAGGAAAATTGGAGATCTTTCTTTGTGAGCTTAACGCATGGTCAAATATTTCTCTGTATTATATTGATCACACTGTCAATTTATCCTGTCTCCTAGGCTTATACAGCCATAAAAATAAATGAAAGTCCTGTGTATGTCCCTCACAGTAGGGTAGATATATTCATATATGTTCTCCCAATTAATTCTCATAACATTATGCAAGGTGATTATTATTATTTTATGGATGATAAGATTAAGATGTAAGGTGCCAAGAAATATACCCCAGTTAAAAGAAGTTATAGGTGGAAAAACAAGGATTCTAATCTGGTCTTTCTGATTCTCAAACTAACACCCTTAACTATTGTGGTAATGGTTTTTCACACTTTGCAGAAGATTCTGGCCAGGGTCCCATGCTTTGGAAGGGGATTGAGAAGGAATGGATAGTGCTGACATAGAGACTAAGCAAAAACAGCCCTTCAATGAATGTAATACCACATTTTTCTTAATATTTAGGAGTTTCAATATATCATTGTGTCTGTGTGTCTGTCTGCTGATGAAGTTGCTTCATATAAACTTGTCTCTGAAGTAGTATTAATTATAAAAATTATGGCCATATCAAAGGGAAATTACCAGTTCAACATTGTTTATTGTAACAATATAAAGCGTGAGTTAAGACTTTGGAGGGAAAAAATTAACAAGCATAATCTGAAACTTAATATTGGGTCCAGCCTTGATTATCTGCTCAATCTTGGGAGGAACCTTAATTTCTCTGTGCTTCTGTTTCCTAATGAGTAAAATAAGTATAAAAAGACAATAGTAACTAATACATAGGTTTTCGGTGAGGATTAAATAAGCAAATGTCTGTAAAAGCACTTGAAACACGCTATGTTCAGTAAATATTAGTTAATATTAACACTATAACTATTAATATTTGTCACTGAGATTGTGTCCTCATCTGTAAAATTGATAAAATGAGATCATGTGTGCAAAGCACATTCTACAATGTCATGCTCATAGCAATTATTCAAAGGTGTATATTATTAGCTATAATAAAGTTAATAGAACTTAGACAATAGATTGTGAATTCTTTTATAGCAGCTCTTATATTCTTTCTTTACATTTTCATCACAAATGCACTGTTGTTCTTATGTCAACTACTCTAAATAGTCTGCTAACTAAGTTCCATTATCTGGATTCCAGTTCCTTACTGGATCTCAACCCACATCATAAAAACACACAAAGACCTTCACTAGAGATATATCCTAAGAATTCCCCTTCTTCAGATTCCTCTGTATCATTTCACTCATACTGTGCGTAACATTTCACATTTCATTATTTTCTTAAAAAAAAAAAAAGAGCAAATTTTGAGCTTTGCATTCATGTGCTTTACATACATATACTATAATCTTTTCAGGCTTAGTTGCCACTATGTGTGCAATCATTCAACTTTCAGTCATTTCAGATGATTAAATATTCACAGATGGTCTCCTCCTGCCTGTGTGCCACGAAAGTTTCTTATGTCAAAACTCTTAGCACATGCTTCACCAGGGAGGCAATTTGAGTAAACTTCCAAAACTCAAAACTTTTTTCCTATCTCAGAAAAAATCCTCAAATCACAACCCAGTAGAACCCAAGAATTTATTATATTACATATTGCAATGAAGAAGTTTAACAAATTTAAAGATGTATTAATAAAAATTGTTTTCTTTTCAGGTAATATAATTAACCATCATTTGAAATATATGGCGAATAGAAACAATGTGACAGAGTTTATTCTACTGGGGCTTACAGAGAACCCAAAAATGCAGAAAATCATATTTGTTGTGTTTTCTGTCATCTACATCACCACCATGACAGGAAATGTGCTCACTGTGGTCACCATAATTGCCAGCCCATCATTGAGGTCCCCCATGTACTTTTTCCTGGCCTATCTCTCCTTTATCGATGTCTGCTATTCCTCTGTCAATGCCCCTAAGCTGATTACAGATTCACTCTATGAAAAGAAAACTATCTCATTCAATGGATGTATGATTCAAGTCTTTGGAGACCATTTTTTCGGAGGTGTTGAGGTCATCCTACTTACTGTAATGGCCTATGATCGCTATGTGGCCATTTGCAAGCCCTTGCACTATAGCACCATCATGAAGCAGTGTGTGTGTAGCCTGCTAGTGGGAGTGTCATGGGTAGGAGGCTTTCTTCATGCAACCATACAGATCCTCTTCATCTTCCAATTACCTTTCTGTGGTCCT